ATGTCAAAAAAAAAAAAGCATAGTTAATGGCTCAACGTGTATGAAACCCTGGTTAATTTAATTGCAACAAATTTGTTCAACAAATAATCAGTAGGCATTGAGTAGGAAACTTTTCTCCTATTCAGCACACAATGGTTCAGTTTTCCTTTTGTGTACAATATATATGAATATCATAGGCAGAATAGCCTAATAAATACTTTTACTTGTCCCGTTTTGTCATTCCGGTCCCGATACTTTACGGAGTTTCATCCAAATACTTATACTTGTTAAAACACAGTACTTTAAATCCCTCTGACAGTTGACCAAACATACGTGGCAACTTAATGGCGGAGTTGGACTTCACGCGTACAACAACGAGCGTAAACGTTGAAACTTAGACTAAAAATAATTAAAATAAGTAGAAAAAACTAAAAAGGAAAAGTAAAAGACAAAAAATAATAAAAAAAAACAAAATGGGTCTCCTCTTTCTTCTCCCCCCCCCCCCCATGTCTTATTCTCTTTCTGCAATTACCATCTCCGATTCTTTCCCCACCCCTCCTCCATTTCTTTTCTCTTTCTCCCCTTATGCCTTTCCCGTTTTTTCCCTATCTGTTTTCACAAACTTTCAATCAAAATTTCAAAAAAAATATTAAGAACCCTTTTCTAAGAGCAACCACCATTAGTGTTTCTCAGATAATTTAGATCTATGGTCATTCCAGTGTTGAATCTATTTTGGGTAACAATCGTTTCAGGACTAATGGATTTTCAGGTGGTGGACTCGATATATAATGGTAAATTTTTATTTGATGGAGAGAAGCTGAAGATCTAAATTTTTTTGGTAGTTTACCGTGGAGATATGGTGGTTTTGGAGGGTGAAGAGTGGTTAATGAAGGTCTTTGATGGTTGGGTAGGTGTACAATGTAAAAATATGTGGACATATGAGGATATTGAGGAATTTAAGTGGTGGTGCACTGGCATATATCAATGGAGGAAAGGAGTTCAAGGTGGTTCATATAATAAATTTGTCTAATATAATATAGTGGGGCGGGTCGGGTCTAATATAAGATCCGATGGACCAAAAGTCTTGGATAGAACGCCACGTGTCCAGTCCGTCAAGTCAGGGATATATTTGTTTGGATAGTAAGACGGTAGGGGTTCTTTTGATCCAATAGTATAACGAAGGGTACTTCTAAACAATTTCTAATAGTATAGGGATATATCAGACCCTATTCCGTAATAGATTAGTTAAAGACTACAGGTAGGTACCTTTGCTGAAGAAGAAGACGACGACGTCAGAGACCGTGAAGCGGACCAAAGGGGGAGAGTGATTTTATTTTGTGTCTCACACAAATAAAATTTTTCAAAGGGGAAATGAAGAATCGGAGAATTAGGACTTTATTTCTAACTATAAGACCCTTTTAGCAAATCGCAAAAGATCATTTAGACGCCTCAAGGTTTCTATAAAAATCAAAATCTATCTCTAACTTTTAACAATAGTCATTCTCCCTCTCATATCTTACACTATGTCTATTTCACGCTTGATAATTTGAATTCCTCTTCTATGTAATAACTTTTATATTATGTAAATATTTTTTTTTAATCTAGTTGTATTACCTATAATTTGAATAAAGTTATGTCTTACTATAGAATGTAATTAAGTTCATTAACATTATAAATATAATAATCATGTTATGAATTATTGAATTTGTTAAAAACATACCACTACACTTTATGTTTACTAGTGTTAGTGTACGTGCGTTGCACGTGTACATCGCGACAATTATTATTAAACATATACAAGATTAAAAAAAAAAGTTGAAAATTAGCAATTGAAGTTAAAATAAAATGCAATATATTTTTAAATAACAAAAACTAATTTACATTGATAGAGTAGTTAAATTCAATATCTTTTGAAGATGCAAAAGATGATGAATTTTGTTGGATTAGTACGCACGTTCCGTACGCGCGTTGCGCGTGTAACTCGTCTCAATAACTATAAATTTTATTAAGCAAATGCATAAATATAATATCAAAAATCGTATTTGCGTTATTATAAAAAATAAGTTGAAAAATTTGTAAGTTCATGAAAATAATGAGTGTTGTTCTTATTTAGCTAAGCCAAGGAAGAAACTCGGTCTACAAATGTTTTCAATCTTCTCAATCAATTAGTTCGACTTAAAATTTATTCCAATTTTATAATCTGAACTTCATTTTTACAAATTAAAATACTTCCTTTTTAGTTTCAACGAGAATGCTTCTTCTTGTTTTTATTTTTATTTTTTTGGTACACAAATGTTTTAAGTTTAATTGCAAAAAAAAAAAAAAAAAAAGAACTACTAATTGACACAAGATGTCTGTTTTTTGCTGTCAAACAAAATAAAAATTACTCTATTCCTGATCAATGACAAATACTTTAGGAATTGTTTCCAACAAATTAGAAAGAATAAATCTCTATTGAAAAAGTACCAATTGCTAAATTTTGATTAATTTAAGCTTTTTATTTTTGTTTTTGATAGATCTTTCATTCTCCGTCCAAGGACATAATTATGCATCCAAATATTATCTTTTTATAGAAGGGAGAATTTATGATTGAAAACATATTTAGAATTTAATACCATCCTAGCATATGACTGAAAATATAGGATTCATGCATGTGAATATCAGATTTAGAATTTATTTTTATCAATTATCATGAATATAGTATTTTATTTTTGCATGTCTACGGTCGGTTGACATTTAACTTGAATTGAAACTTTTTAAAAGTAAATTCGATTTAATTTAAAAAATATATTTAATTATCTATATGACGAAAAATACATTTTTGTCTATATTTAGTTCTTTGAATCATTTTAATAGTAACTCCAATTTGCTTATTTTTTTGAGGAAAATTTTACATAGATACTATATTTAGTTCTCATTTAAAATGAACCATTTTAGTAGTAACTCCAATTTGATTCAAAATAATATATTTAATTGTCTATTTTGTGGGAAAAAAAACATTTTTGAGGAAATTTTACATTGATAAATTTACAATTTTGTCCAATCTAAAAGGTATTTTAAAGGGCAAAAAAGGCGAACGACATTTCGCTAAGGGACTTCGTGCTTTTAATATAGTATAGATATAGATTATTTTAGTTAGTATAAGATTTGTGGAATATTATCTAAGTAGAGTTTTCCCCGCATTGATTGACCAATCCTCATTGGCTTTGAATAGCTTCAACAGTAAAGTCGGTAGGGAAGTACATCAATCCAAGTAACACGGACAAAACTTGCATCTTGAAGAATTCAGCATTACATGTCTTCCAAATTATATCCCTCATCAAGAATTGGCTTCCCACCATATAAATCGTTGGATTGATTTGGTGGTTAAACTTAACGTTAAGATGCTAGAAATCCACCCTCCGAATTCCTGGTATAGTCTACCTGATGCTATTTATGCAGCTAAAGAGCTGACAACATTGAAACTAAGCAGGTTCAAGTTTGAATTTGATACTAGCACAACTAAAACATTCTGTAATCTTAAAAATCTTCTTTTGTGGAGAGTTCATATCTTAGGAGATCAATTGCAACGAGTTATGCCCGTTCATTGGGAATATAACACTAGTTGATTGCGAGGGTATAAACAAGTTTTGAAATACAGGTGCTGTCTACATTAATAGGATGCTCAGATAATACCAAAACCAAGTGTTTCTATTCGTGGCAACATCAATTAAAAGAAGTCAGTACGTACACAACTGAGAAGGAAATGAACAGCGTTTGGTATTGGTGGTTTAAGTCCCCGTCTCTGCTTGATCAAGCAACTACTTTCATGTTCAAATGGGAGGACAAGTCCATTATTCACTCTAAGCTGTGGAGGTCGAGTATTAGGGTTGTATGTTAGGAAGTAGCTGAGCCTATTTTTATTTCGTACCTATGTGAGGCTAGTCTGATAGGATTTTTGTCTTAGACTACTAGTTGTTGATGTTGTGTCTCTCTACTCCTTCATTTTCATAGTGTCGGGTCTTTTTACTAGCTATCACTTTTGCGTTTCATCTATTTTCTGGACTTTATGATGCTGTTAATATTCATATGGTCTCTGTTGGTGGTACTGATATTGTCTATTTTCGTCTTCTTAAGCCGAGGATCTTTCGGAAACAGACTCTCTACCCCCTCTATGGTGTTAAATTTATTAGAATTTCAAGAATTGTGAGTCGCAACCATGTGGAAATCGAATACACAAGTAGGGGTGGTAAAACTAACCCAAACCTATTTGACCCGCCCAACCCACCCAAGTTTAATGGGCTTGGGCTAGAAGGATTTTGAAAAAGGGTTGTTTTGGGCGCGCATTTGCCACCCCTAACACAAGTATATACAAGGCACAAGTTTGTTAAAATATCATGGTATAGCCAGTTTTCACACTGGTCAATGAAAAATAGCCAGCGTTTATCAAGTCAATGAAAAATAGCCACTATTTTGCTGCAACAGGGACCGGTCCAGTATAATATACGGGAGTTCTGGTGTATTTGTGTACGAACTCCAGCATATTATGCTGGACCGATATACTTTGCTAACTCCTGTAAAATTTGCGGGAGACTGGAGCACCAGTGCTCCAAACTCCAGTATATTATACTGGACAATTATACTTGCTAGAACTCCCGTAGAATTTGCGGGAGTTCCAGCATAATTATGCTTGAACTCTCGTAAAATTTGCGGGAGTTCCAGCATAGTTATCCTGGAACTCCCGTAAAATTTACGGGAGTTCAAGCATACTTATGCTGGAACTCCCGTAAAATTTGCGGGCGTATTTTTTCGGATTTTGAACAGTGTTTTCGCTCAGATTTAAAGTGGCTAAATTTCGATGACTTTTGAAACTTGGCTATTTTTCAACGACCAGTGGTAAATCTGGCTATTTTTGAATTTCTGCTTTTAAGTGTTTCAAACCCATTGCATCAGAGAAAGTCACAATTCAATGCTACAACAAAGCAAAACCTTTTAGACAAACAATATTTTTTCCTGGCAAGACAGAAGTACGGAGCAAAAAATGCTGCAAATCATGTGAAGAAATGAATGTCATCTCTGCAAATAAAACATAACAATCTAATCCAAAGTAAATGGACATCTTTGTAACAAATTTTGAATTCATTGGCAATATCAATACTATTCTATCAACTGAAAACGTCGATTTTCTTGCACAAGCAAGAATCTTCTACTCAGAAGTTGCAACAAGATCGAAAATCTCTACCCTTAACCAGAGATCTTTTCGAGCTCTAAGGAGAAATTCCCGGTAGGGTGCTTTCCCCTTAAATGGGCCCTATGTAGCTCGAATCTATAACATCGGGAGTGGTAAAAGAAGTTGCAACAGAAGATAACATAGCAAAAGAAGAAACTAAAAGGAGTTACTATTGAGTACTTGATATAGCTGTGGATGGCAAAACTGATCAAGCAGGTTGAAATAAACCCGGTCGAAAACACTACTTCACTTTTTTACTCAAGTTTGATGTCCCAAATTTTGCGTCATCCTTGATAAAACTCCACCAGATATAGGTCAAAGGGATTGTCGTGGCATGCCAAAGAGCATGTGCATCTACTAGTCCTTGATACGGAGGGAAGTCGTAGATCTCTAGGAGCATAGCAAGGCCACCTCCCACAACCACCGTCCATAACTTCCATCGGGAAGGATGACCGCTAATTCCAGCCCAGAGTGCCCAAATTAGAAGTTGAGAAACAGCTATCACAACACAAACTTTCATATTCCATCCTGAGAATTTATCACATTAATTATCATCAGATATAAACAACAGAAAGTAAGTAAATAAAATAGAAGCTTCCTATGCTTTCCAACCCTTTATGGAGACATAAATCATGCCAAACAACAATTGCAGAAGTAGAACTTACTGAATCCAATCATTTGGGCTCATAATAATTAAAAGTTACTCCTGCTGCAGAGCCTTGAGCATTATATAAGGACTTTGCTGCAGGAGTAAACCGTTACCATCCGGGTGGAATTGCCACAACACGGCATTATTTTTAGCAAGAATTATTGCAGTAGGATAATGGTTAAGAGGATTTAAAAAGCATATGGCATTAAAATTTCCAAGGCTTAGCTCAGGACCCCGCTACTCATCGTGTTTGATTTGATATTGCTACCGCACATAATTTCAAGAGTCAGTAATTATGGTCAACTTGTACAACAAAACACAAATAACTCGACCCAAAACCAATACTACATGCTATCCTTTCTTACTTGAGTTAAAGCTAGTTGGTGCTTGTTTTCCCGAAAATACACTCGACATACCTATTGTCAACGCATGCACGTTTTGACGTAAATTTTAAAAAAGAGAGACAGCGAGATTACCATAGTCCATTTGATAGTTGTTCAGGTACAGTATATGAGTGACTGTAAAGGCAAGCAGTGGAGCCGCAACCAGAACTCTCGCAGCCTCATTCTTTACACTGAAACTTCTTAGTATTGATATAATCAGTGAAAATCCAAGTAATGCCACAGCAGATGCGTAGTCCAGCTTTTCTGTAAAATCCATGTCTCTGCAATAAATAAATGAAAACAAGTTCATACAATTCAATTGGTATACTGAAGTGATATTGCAAGAAAATAGATAAACTTCAAGTTGCAGGCACCGCCAACATATCCCAACCACATACGATTAGAAAAAAAAACCTAAACGACATTGGTAAAGTTAGGGAATCAAAATCGGCATTATCAAAACTGCCAAAGCATAAACTTACCGGCTGTGGAAGACAGCACTCCATAGCCATGAGTTCATAGACAAGAACGCGTAAATGTGCCACAAACAAGTGTAATTGTAGCAGGTCTTCTCATCACCTTTTGATCGTAACTTGTAGTAAATAAGCATGAAAAAGGACAGCCATCCATGGAAATGCATTGCAAGGTTAAGCGCAGAGAAAGCAACAGACACAGGCTCCTGAGAGATTAAAATGTTACTCCCGATTAATACTCACATACACACACACACACACATATATATATACATAAAATGAGAGGACCATTTTGGAAGCAGTTGGAACTTGGGACAAGAGGCCATTAATTAACATACCTGAAGCCCAAACACTCGTTTGAATGGCCATTTCCCATGATATTTCACAGGCCCAAATCCATGTGTTGCTCGGTCTTTTTCTCTTTGAAGCATGCAGTGATACTGGCAATCACTTTGGCAATTTGCTTGCTTCAACCACCGGTATAGAGGCTCTTTCAAGTACCAGTTGTCATCAGAAGAAGAAGCATCTAAAGGAATTTCGCAATGCGGGAAACATGTTTCTCCAGCACATCCAGTCTTTTTACATTGATCAAAACAAGCCCTAAATGATAGAGTTCGATACTTCAAAAATACAACGTCTGATTCTTAAGTGCTAGACTACAGAGAAAATTCATAATTGCGATTGTATCGGGTTTAGACTTTATTGGGAGGAAAGGAAGTAGATTTTTTTCAAACTGATATAGAAACAAAACAGACCAGTGAGTCAGAATCATGTTGCACATCCGCTACACGAATCACCTAAGTGATGAACTGCATTTGCATATCAGAAAAATAAATGTTCTTTGACCAAAATTTTCTTGGATTGACAAAAGGGCTATAATCAAACATACAACTAGTTTATAAAAGAGTCGTTTTCAGCTTATGTAAGGGAAACAATAGTAAATAGTTGGTCCCTTTTTGGTATTAGCTTTACTAGATTGCGTCGAGCTATCCCCAAAGTAAATTAGCTTCTCACATAAGCAAGGTGATGGTTCAATAAAACAGCTGGTATTTCAGTATTTAAGTGAGAAATTACTGTTAAAATTCTAAACTTCCTAATTTCCCTAAAATAGAAATATATTCCGTGATTAAATTCGGAAATTAGAACAGGAATTCCTTCACAATATTTTCAAATACATTGCATACTATCAGTGGTAATCTATGTAATATCTCGAGACAGTGAAAAGCTTAACCCAATGTCTTTCTATCTTTAATAACACCACGAACTTGACAGATATTTGTTTAAGCTCTTCCTTGTCTCTTTTCTGACCTTAATAAAAGGGCAGCCCGGTGCACTAAGCTCCAGCTATGCGCGGGGTCCGGGGAAGGGCCGGACCACAAAGGTTCGAGCTAAAGCGTAACTATCGTACATGAAATTTCAAACCCGAAATTGTAACTATCGTACACAGCCTTACCCTGCATTTCTGCAAGAGGCTATTTCCACGGCTCGAACATGTGACCTCCTGGTCACATGGCAGCAACTTTACCAGTGACGTCGAGGCTCCCCTTCTTTTTCCCGACCTTAATATTTTCCTTAATTTCCCAGGCTAAATATCTCCCCCCTCCTCCAACAACTACAGTTTTCATTACTTTCACTATTCAGGTCTACCTAATGCTTGCAACTTTGCTCTCTATTTCCCACCAACTGTCAACTAGCCAACTGTTGAGATAGTTTCCAGTAGTCAACTTGCAAGCCCCAAATTTTGAGAAATGAAATAAGGTCGCCTGAGATGGTTTGCCATGTTTTTGTTCACCTCCATAAGAACCAGTCTGTAGGTGGGACACTATGATGATTGAATGTGGTATATAGGGTCGAGAGAAACCAAAGGTTACAATGATCGAAGTTATCTAAAGAGACCTACAATCTCTCAAAATCAATATGGATTTAACCAAGGATAAAACACAGTTGAAGGAAAAGATCCATATAACCTATACCAATTAAGTGGAATTGAAATCTTAGTAGTTGTTGTTAGACACACATTTTGTTCATTGTTTGTCAGTTTGTGATAAATCATTTTATTCTAGTTAATATATCCATGGATTGAAGACTCGCATGATTAAAGAAACTCTAGTTTTAGTGAACTCCTAGTTTTCTTAAATTCAATTTATTTAGTATTGGAAAGAAATGAGCCCGAATAGGAAGGAAGAGATAGGTAGGATCATATAGACGATTCCAGCATGTTGATTGATATGATGAAACCTTATACCACTCTTAGCTTGAGACCGAATAGAAACTTTCGACGTGGAGTTCAAATTTATATGCCAAAAATCACTAATATCGCAATAAATTATAGATATGAACCCATAGCTTTAAGGATATAATGAGTCCTTTAGTAAGAACTTTAAAAGTTGAACTTATAGAGTTTAAATCCTGGATCCGCTTCTGCAACTATGCTCTAAACCAGGTTCGGAGCCACGGAGCCAGCTACAGGTTTGGCCGAAGCCAGTATTTATCTTGTATTTTGGTTCTAACCTTGTATTTATCTTTTCAAAATTCATTAATGATGTACAAATATTAATTTAGAACCCATATTAACTTAAAAGAATAAGAATCCCAAACTCATAAGCTCGAAATCCTAGCTTCGCCTCTGCCTTAAACTAACAAAAGCAGAAGTAAAAATTGGAAAAGCTCACGCAATATATGAAGCATAAGGTAAAATAATTGAAACTTTACCTGTACAAAGGGTCAGCATCTCCAGCACTAGCATCAAATGTTCCAAAAAGACAAAATAGAACTACCAAGAAAGTGATCCAACAAAGATCTGCCATCTGATCTAACACAAAATTGGATAAAAATGAAATCTCTTAATGTCACATATTATACATAATCTAACTAATTACTTATTTTGGACCACACAAAAAAGGCCAAATACTCATATAGCAAAAGGGTCTAAATTTTCCAACAATATTTTATCAGTTTAAATTGGGTAAAACACAAATCTTTTAATGTCACATGTTATATATAGCAAACAAATTTAGTAACTGAATTCTAGCTCCAAAGTCAGATAGAAAACATGGTCCAAATATTCAAAAAAAGATTTTATTTTTACAGTAGAAATTGAAATATTGGAAGGAATTAAGGGATTAGTAAAGGATATTACCCCGTTGGATTGATACTCAATTCACGTATCGGACAGTAAATAGAGAGAACATTCTTTAATTCAGCAGCAGCATTTTGAAATTCATGACAATATAAAGCAATGTGGAAGAGAGAAGAATGGGAGTTGGAGAACTGAAGAGAAAAACAAAAATAAAAATGATTTTAAAAAAAAAAAAAAAAAAAAAAGGAAAGGGAGCAAGTGCACATATAGCCACTTTACAAAGCATTTAAAATTTAGCCGTCTCAGAATTAGTTTTAGACTCGGAGTAGAACTATCATAGCCTTACTTTAAATCTGTAGGAGTCGTTTGATTTGAAGACAAGTTATGCTGGGATTAGACATATTGAATTAGTTGTCCTGGTATTATTTTTTATTAATTATTTAGTATATTGTATTAATCTTGCGATTATCAATTTTACTATTTTATTAAATTAGTCATATTGAATTAGTTGTCCTGTCAAGTTATGTTGCGATTGTCAACTTGCCAGCAAACCCAGATAAAAGCATCAAATCGCCGCGAAGCAGAAGAAAAACACCAGAAATCAACTAGAAGCAACCACAAACGAACAAAAATCAGCCGAAATTGGGAAATCACCAGAAGAGATAACCATAGAATCGTTGGGCGCCGAGAACTCCAACGAAATCATTCAAGGGTAACATCGGAATGAAGAGTTGGTCGAGAATTACACGATTCCAAGCTCTGATATCATGAGAACAACCTAAAATCGAGGAAATTTGAGAAATGAAATTGGGTGAGAATCCTAAAATTGAGAAGAACAAAGAGAGAGATTATTTCATTCTGTGTACAAAATATCCCTGTATGTATTTACAATTTAAAATCATGTGAAAAGACTATAAAGGACACACTAAACCCAGATGTAAACAAATCAAGTCTCTGAAGGGTTGACTTGGGTCGGATCCGTAGATTGGGCTTGGACGGTTGTATTTCTATCATACTTGGGATAGCCTATCCTGGGATTATTATCCATCCTCTCACAGGTATAAGTTATCTCGGTACTATTTTTGATCCTATAATAACTTATCCCAAGATTCGCAACCAAACAAGGGATAAGGCGGTACTAAATTTTTATCCCGTGATTATTTTTACCTATCTAGCGTACCAACCGACCCTTAAAGTTAGACTCTGGAAAATCCTAACTTCAGACCTAAAGGTTTGAAATTTTAATTTTGTTAATTTAAACTTCAAGCCTTCGAGTCTAAAATTAAGATTTGATAGTTCAAAATTTCATACTCGAGAGAAGAAGGATGAGGCAGCGGAGGAGGGGTTTGAAGTTTGCCAAATATAACTAAACTTTAAATAGTTTAAAACTGGCTAAAGATTAAATAGCATATCTAAATGCAATTACTTGGTGCTATTCGGGCGAGAAAAAGATAGGTCAACATATAAATAAAAGAAGAGACTTTTTCTTTCCTATACCATATATGAAACCTTATTACTAAAAATGTGCATAGTTTCATATTTACCCGCCATGTTCATAGTTTTTCTACAATTATTATAATATTCATTAAATACTAATTATTAGGAGTTGATTCCTTCCTAATTAGGCGCACTACAAATCAGGAACAGAATATTCTAATTGATTTAGCGACCTTCAGATCAAATTTGAAAAACAAATCCTATATCTTCAATTTAAAATCAAATTACATAGACTCTTTTTTGCAAAAACTCTGTTCTTCGATATTTTTCCTTAAGCCACAAATCAAAAAAAGACAAAATCGTCAACAAATTCGAATCAAATTGTAGAAATCAGTTCTGCAAAAGCTCAGTTCGTCGACATTCTCTACATCTCTCTCTATTTCTCAATCGCAAATTTCAGTAATACAAAGCAAATGAAAAGAGAGCAGCAATTCCACCATTGACAGCCATTAAAAAGCTTGAAAGCTTTGAATTCAAATTTGGGTTTTCAAAAATCATTTTGTTTGGATTGGGTGTTGTTGAAAATAATCGGGAATATGGTTTGGAGTTTATATCTCAATTTTGAGGGGTTTTGGTGAAGATTAGACTTGATTTTGACTGAATTTCAGATTGAAACTCGAAGAAGAAGAAGAAGAAGACATATTGCAGAAATTATGATAAATTGTAGATTATTTGTATTCTGATTGTAGATGCTTTATTTTCTGTTTTCACAAATAAAAAACGGCTAAAACTTCTACAAATCTTCTGAAAAAACGCAATTATGTCAAAAATTCCAATTATGCTACAATTGAATGGGAATTGGGATATAAAAATTCAATGTACCAAGTTTGTAGATGTTTTGCAGATAAATTGTAGATTATTTGTATTCTAATTGTAGATGCTTTGTTTTCTGTTTTCACAAATCAAAAACGACTAAAACTTCTACAAATCTTCTGCAAAAAACGCAATTATGTCGAAAATCCCAATTAAACTACAATCAAATAGGAATTGGGATATTAAAATTCAATATACCCAGTTTGTAGATATTTTGTAGATGAATTGTAGATTATTTATATTCTGATTGTAGATGCATTGTTTTCTGTTTTCACAACCCAATTCCAATACCAGTACCCAAATACCCATTACCCTTTACCCTACCATCTACATATAAAAACACAATTAGAAAACCTAAAAAAATCAGATCCATCAAATCCTAAATACCTTACCCCCGGAAACGGCTCCATCGGCTCCCTTCCAAAAAATCGAAAGCAGAAAAAACGCTCCCCAAAAAGAAGCTGAAAAAACGGCGCAACGATGGAACCCATTTCTTCTTCTTTGGATTTTTCTCAAAAAAAGACAAAGAGAAAGAGCTCCTTTCTTTAAAAGATACAGAACAAAAAAAAAACGGCTCATTTTGGTACCTTGAATTAGGGATATATGCTGCATTAATTGTACCCTTAAAATACACTATGGTATAGAATTGGTAATTTGGTATACTAAATGAAATTATATCAAATCTTAAACATTGAGGGTAATAAGGTTTCCTATATGGTATAGAAATGTAAAAATTCCATAAAAGAACAAGTAAATTATTTTTCGGAAAATTACTTCCATTGTATCTAGCACATTTTTTTCCTCAATGATAAGAGACATAGAGACAACCTTTCCACCTGTTTATTTCTGTTTTATGCAAAGGGATTACGCTATGATCAAAGCTGGAGTGGATAAAATTCAAAACAGATTATATACATTTAGGAAAAATAACACTGTATAGCCGCTATAAAAATAATAGTCGAAAAATTGTATAAAATTTGTATAGTTTTTGTGTACATATATATATATATATATATATATATATATATATATATATTTTATAGAAATTATACAAATTTTATAGACTTTTTCTGTTACCAGATGTAAATAGTTTCTGGCGCGACTAAAAGTGATAATACCCCTATATATTTAGGCAAT